GACAGTTAGGCTACGTGCAGAGTGTATCGTATCCCCCGAAGCGTCCGCTTGTTGTGCGTCGACCTGCTTCCACGCTTGGATACTCTCTTAGCTACCAGTCTGTTTATGATTCGTGGTGGAACAATTTGGGGGCGCATAGTGTGCATCTGGACCTTTATTCTACTCCGATACGATGTAGGCCATGGGAGTTTGCTGAGGATTACATGGGGTTGTACATTAGGCACTCCCACAGATACTGAGTGACAGCCGACCTGTTCACGACATCTCGGATGCTGATACGGTTAGTACAATCATATTTGAAATTATTTGTATTAAGTTAAAAAAAAATTTGATTCTAACTAATATGTATTTAAATTGTATGGTTTTTGTTTACAGTTGTCACGCGAGATGTGGATTGAGATATCTCCCGTGATGGATGCTACACAGGGTAGTAGGGAGAAGTGGATGGCTAGCGCCAACGAGTACTACGACTTATGTCATGGAGTTGGGAACATGTGGCCCGAGTTTAGGAGGAAGTCGGGTTTTCTACCACCTCCACAGTAGTTGTATGATTATTATGTCATATGTATGAGTGTTATTTGTTGTTTTTAGACGAGTTGACTTATGTTATTCTGTTGTTCTACTACGACTTATGTTATGTGGTGTTCATTTGCTTATTTGTTGTTTTGGGACTATGACTTATGTTATTTGTTGTATCTGATTATGACTTATGTGGTTTATGGTGTACTTCGGATGTTTTTATTATATCATGCTTCCATGTGACGTAAACAAACTTCATTACAATTTATTTAAACTGAAGACGTTCATTACAATTTATTTAAATTGAAGACGAGTACAAATTTATTTCTTTGGAACCCTCTTTTTGCGTGATGGAAAGCTATGCGTCGCACCCCCAAGATCGAACCACATTTGACTAAACGGCGCGAAATATGTCTCCCATCCATCCACGCTTTCTTGGTGACCGCCTGGCCACATGCCATGTAGAGGGGGCATCGGTATCTTGTCCGCCGGGAAAGAGAGGTTGATCCAATGATCCTAGACGAAATGCAGAACAATGACTCCTCTAGCGTGGGTTTCCCCAGATATGTTGTCGACTGGCAGAATGGTACAGTAGTACGCACTTGGTACTGGGTAGAGGTAAGAGCTGTACATGACAACAGCCAAATTAAATAGTGTGGCAAATACGAATAGATCCACACCCATCATCCAATGATGTTGAGTCGTTGGTGCTGTAGTAGCGATGTCAATGCGTCTGATTGCTTCATTCACAGATTCACCGTAGATGGGTGCGTATCGCCAATCGTGTTCACGAATTTCTTCAGCAAGTCGTCGCCTCACCTCTGGGAACCCTTCTTGATTACCATATAGTGCAAAGCTAAGTGCACGAAACCCACAATGACCGTCTGGCACCGGGTCGTGGATGGCAATGATAAGCGGCCGAACGAAGACAGGAAGTAGTTCCATGTGTGCGTAATCATAATGGGTGCTGGATCCAGGGATATCTGTGAAGGAAATAGATAATCCACACAAATTTGACATAAATATTAATATAAATAACTACACTTATGAAAAATTTAAATTTTACCTGTGTCAGGACAGTTGTATTTGTTGTTTTCTTCGGGATCACCACACTCCTCCGTTGCATGGTCGTCTGACGGGTACTCATCTGTCTGAGTCCCCGTGGACTTGGTACTGGTCGATTTTGTAGACCCCGACGTTGTGCTTCCCGACTTCTTTTTCATGTTTTTCTTCTTGCCTCGCAGTATCTTTTCCCACCACCCTTTATTTTTTCCAGTTGATTTTTTGGCTGAGCGTCCCTTTCTAAATTCGTTCACTTCTGGCTTGTGAATGTTGTCCTCCGCCGGGTGGAGACCGCGAAACAAGTTCTTTGCTTCTTTTTTCGTTGCCTCTGGTCCTCTGCGTACAACCTCATCAACCAACTCCTGAAGGTGACATTTAGCCTCCTCCTCCTGGGGAACGTACTCCTGAGCATTGGGTGGATGCTCGTATGACAGTGTCCGCCAATATATATGAATATCACCGGGGTATATCTCTATGTCTCGCGGTCTGCCATCCATAACTTGACATCCACACCTCAAGTCGTGTGTCACAGAGAAATGACATGCACATCGGGAGTTCTCATTTTTTTCCAAGCGGGCAGCCAAGTCTTCTTCAGCCTCCTTCATTAATATAATTGCCTGCATGCTGACCTTCCTTCTCAAGTATGTGAATGGTATACCACCGGATGCTGAAAGGGTTTTCTGTCTAGAGTTTTCCAACATCATCATAACCTCCCCGAGTTGGTTAGTAATATAGCGGTGGTTTCCTTTCCATACAGTGTCCATAGATCCCCGCGAGTTGTGGAGGAAAGTTTTCAAAGCGGAATGTGACGACTCAACCCTGTTTGTGCTCGTATTTCCTAGATGAAACACATTTTTGGTATGACAAACTGCCCACTTTTCTCGATGTTGCCACCACACTCCCTGTATGTATTGCAACATACGTGGTTCGTAATTGTCCCATCTTGTCCTAAAGCAGCCAAACGCGGCCAACATACCTTGCTCTGACCAAGAATAAAGCATAGGACACCAATATTGATCGTACGCCTCGTTGACCAAATCCATCCTGTCCTTCCCAAATATTTCCAAACACTTCTTCTGCACATTGGTGTTGATGTGCCAAACACATAGCAAATGCGGGGTTCGGGGGAAGACCACAGGAACCGTAGCAAGTAGTCCAACTTCGTGGTCGGTGACGATGACAGTGGGCACGCGTGGATGGAGCAATTGTTGTATGCACTGCAACAGCCACAGATACAACTCTTTTGTCTCATCCTTCATGAGAGCACAACAAATGTTGAAATTCTTCCCAACTGGAGTAGCACCTACGACCTCCACCCACGGCCATTTATATGCATTGGTCTTATACGTTGAGTCGATCAGAATCACGTACGGCCAAGCCTTCAACATCTGGATGGAAGTTGGATGGGCAAAAAAAAAAAAAGATGTGTAAGCACGTCATTATCGTCCTTCATAACCTCTGTATGACAATTCTCACGTTCAGCTGCTTGCAACGCGTACTACACTGCATTCATCTCGCCCATCTTGTCTTTCCTAGACTTGGACCCGAGGTTATACATTTGCCTTTGGGTGTGATGCCCTTTGTTACCCTTCTGCTTGTTTATTGCCTGCTTCTGTTGCGACGGAGATACCCCAGCATCTCTCATCTGCCTTAGAGATTCATTATCCTCTTGACTCAATTTATTCATTTGACTGTGGCCCTCGGGATAAAGCATCTTCTCATGATTGTGATACCCTCGCCTTAAACCGGTTCCTTGCTCCGTCACTCCTTGTATCTCCCAGAATAAAGGTCCATCAAGAGCATCTGGATTAACCAGTAGTTCTTTGATTTTAATCTTGAACATGTATCCCTATCCTTTTGAACTTGTATTGCCACGACTCTCCTTGGAAGGATCCGACTTGTATGACTTCCTCTCCCTACTGCATCTGTCGCAATACATATAACAGATACCCAATACTCTTTTGTTGCTCAACTCACGTGGCTTCATCGATCCCTTAGTTAGAAAGAAACCAAGAGACATCGCGATGTTTTTGGTCACTGTTACAGCATCTTCGAAATTGTCATATCGGACGTGATTGAGAAAATGGTCTGTGTAATCACCAATTAGTTCAACATTGTAAGCCATGTCCACCTGCAATTATGATTTTACAACTCGTTAGAAATGTACAAATTATATGATTCTACAAAATTAAACTAAATGCAATAATTTAATTAAGTCTAAAAAATAATGATAATTTGACGATAAAAAAATAATTTAAATATAAATTATTAAACCAAATTAGCTCTACGAATTAAATCTAAACACAATAAACTAATTTGCGCTACAACAAAACACAATCACTTAATTAAACTAATTGTGCTTCAATTGACTCTACAAAATTAAACTAAATGCAATAATTTAATTAACTAAAAAAATAACGATAATTTGACGATAAATAAATTATGTAAATATAAATTATTAAACTTCTTTAGCTCTAAAAATTATATCTAAACACAATAAACTAATTATCGCTACAACAAAACACAATCACTTAATTAAACTAATTGTGCTTCAATTGACTCTACAAAATTAAACTAAATGCAATAATTTAATTAACTCTAAAATAATGATAATTTGATGATAAGTAAATTATTTAAATATAAATTATTAACTTCTTTAGCTCTACGAATTAAATCTAAACACAATAAACTAATTAGCGCTACAACAAAACACAATCGCTTAATTAAACTAATTGTGCTTCAATTGACTCTACAAAATTAAACTAAATGCAATAATTTAATTAACTCTACAAAATAACGATAATTTGACAGTAAGAAACTAATTAGCGGTACAACAAAATACAATCGCTTAATTCAAACTACATATGAATTTAACTATGTAAAATAGAAAAAAGCAATAAATTAAATATAAATTATTAGCTCTAGAAATAATAAACTATCTCAAATTAAAAAAAATATAACACTGCCGGCTATATGCATCCGCTCCCCGACGACGGGCGCCGTCCGCCTCCGGCGAGCGTACGGGCAAAAAAATCCAGGAGGTCAGTCACGGGGGTTTACCTGCTTCGCTGGTCCGACAATGGGGTACGGCTGCCGTCCAATGCCCGACGAATTATGCTAACGAGATTGGTCCGGTGGCCGGCGACTTAGGCTGCCGTCCGGTGGCCGAGAATCTGGCTATGGTGTTTGTGGGGGTTGGTGGTCGGGACTCGGGTGGTGTGTATGTTATTTAAAAAACCATTTCAGCGAATAGAATATAAAGAAAAATTTGGAGGGCAAAATTGTCTTTTAGTATTTTTTACAGGCGGCAAATAGTTTCTTGGGCGGCAAATAGTAACCCTCCTACAAATAACCATCTCCTCCGTATGAACTCAAACAAGTTATTCTAACTGAAATAACAAATAAGTTTAACTGATGGAATTGGAAACAACCCATCCAAATGTACGGCTGATAATAGACTTTTCACCCCGTTTTCTGCCTCTGGTTGTGGTTAGCCTAAGTGTATCTTTGCCTCCTTCCACTCCAAACAAATCCAAAAATGGCCAATCTACTGCACCTTCAGCTTCAACGCTCTTGGCTCACACCTTCTTCACCTCATCATCTTCCACCTCTCTCCACCAAACCCTCCGTCGCCGTCTTCCCCTCCAAATTCTCCCCCTTCAGACACTCACTTCACGCTGCCCCTCTCAATAATGCTGAATCATCTGATGAACCCACTTCTTCAGAATTCCATCAGAAACCTGCAGTCATCGACCCTGTGAAGCTGCCTTTTGAGAAAACTGAAGGGTATAAGAAATCTGCTACCATGGCGGCGGCTCAGAATGTGAAAATTGAGGACCCGATTGAGGGTCCTAGCGAGGAGAAGGCAGAAGTACCAGATCCTGTTAAGGCTGCTCTGGAGAAAGCCAAAGAGTACAAGAAGAATAAAGGAGCTGCTGGCAGCGATGTGAAACTTGAGTCAAATCCAGGTACTGGGGTTATTGCGCGCCAAGTTACTGATGAAATGCTGCAACGAGCTTTTTGATTGTTGAGGTATAATTGACAGTGAAAGCTCTGAACTTCCCGTAGGAGTGATGAAGGCGAGAAATGGGCGGGATCCAGGAAGTAAATTGATGGATGGAGGTGAGAGCAGCAAAGGGAGGCTATCAGTTTCAAAGCTTGATTTCGTGGGACTTGATTTTGGGGAAAGGAAAAGGGGAAAAGGGCTGCCGGCTGGACTGGTTCCTACAGTGGATCCTTATCCGGCAGGGGACTTGCCCGACGTGGAGATCATTGTTGGGGATACCAGCAATTTTCGGGAGAGGAAACAAGCGAATCCTCAGCCAGCGCAAGAAGATAGTGCCGCAGATCTCTATAAGCCTAAGGTTTCTACATGGGGAGTCTTTCCCAGACCTGGAAACATTTCGAAAACGGTATATGCTTATTGCAATTGGTATTAGCCTTTTTCAACAATAACATGGTGGTGAAGCATCTTGTTGACCAAAAACAACAACATGCATGCTAATTGCTAGGTACTGATGGAACCAAATGTTGTTTATACAGTACCGGTGTAACTTAGTTTAGGCCATTTTGGGTGAAGTTGGAAGATGATTGATCATTCTGTAGATATTGTTACGGGAAAGGACTGTACGATTTGCTTCATTTTCCTGAAAGAAGCTGTTACTGATGCTTCTCAATCTGAGTGTTCAGTTTGGTGGTGGGAAAACTATTCGCCCTGGGGATGTATTGGAAACAGAAGAGGAAAGAGCTAGTAAAGATGCACGCACGAGGCAACTGGTTGCAGCTTACCGCAAGAAAGTTGGTTTAAATATCGATCCAAAGTTGAAATCGGAGTGCGACAAGGTACGTTGGGTTGTTATATCTGCTATTAAAGATTTGATCTTTCAATTCCCTTGAGTGGGTATTCTTATTACACGAAGGCAACAACGAACACTTAATTGCGTCTTTCTTCTGCCATTCCTTTGCTTCAGACCTTGAAGGATGGCGACTCTTTGATGGACTCAGGGAAGCTCAATGACGCACTAACTTACTATCAAACCGTTATGGATAAACTACCTTTCCAGGTAAGTTTTCAGTTGCTCGTAAACTTAATATTTGCGGGGGAGATAGTTCACGAGACCTTTATGTACTCCGAACATTCATTTTGCAGAGTGAACTTCATGGATTAGCAGCTTTGCAGTGGTCCATCTGCCAAGATTCACTTAATCGGTACGTTAACTCTTCTACTGTCAAGCTGTGCCTGTGAGGATTCATGTGGCTGGAACGATAGTAGTGTGGCAGGCCTTCTGATGGTAATGCAACTTTCTTGCTATGGTGGACAGGCCAAATGAGGCACGGGCGGTGTACGAAAAACTTCAGTCTCACCCAAATCCTAAAGTAAGCAAGAGAGCAAGGCAATTGATGTTCAGTTTCCAGGTAACGCTGTAGAAGGAAACCTGCTTGTTGATCGGCAACTCTTTTTTTTCTTTCTAGCTAGACTTAAAAAATGATGTCTCCCATTGTCTAACCACTGGAAATAATGCTCACTTCAAAACTTTGAGAATGAATGCATTTCTGTGAAGGCAAATTTTGCAAATAATTTTAAATGCCCCCTCTTTTTCACTAACTAATATGAGATGAAATCTAGAGTGCAGAACATGTGAATTGATGAAGACGGTTAAATTCGATTTCAGGCCATGGAAATGATGAAGGTTACAGGGTCGAATTTCTCGCTCGACAACCCTGGCTACCAGGACTACTTCGAGAAATTTGTCCAAGACAAGACGAATTACTCTGCGACAAACGATGAAGGTGAAGAAGGTGTGCTGAGCCAAGCGCTCCCATACATAATCTTTCTTGTTTCACCCATTTTTATGATTCTTTACGTTGCTGTACAGGGAAGGACTATGAACTAGAGAAGAGAACTCGGTAAAGAATGTATAGTTTACGGTATAAGTTATAATACTAAGTCCACCTATTATGTACTGCTACAAAATCATGTATGATGGTTGGATTAGAGGGTATGATCTAATTGGCATATTTGCATATGAGTAAGAAGAGAGGAGAGGTTTGGGGGAGAGCTGAGCGCATTTTCTTGTGGCTGGGATCTTAAGGTGGCACTTAATTCACTTTTTTAAATCTCACTTAGCTTTTACTTGGCCGGAATATCTGAGCTATACAACAATTTATTGATAGTATCTTCTAGCTTTTAATCGGCACTTACTTGGCCCGTTGACCGGCTATACAAAAATTTATTGATAGTAAATTGATAGTATCTTCTAGCTTGAGCTATACAACAATTTATTGATAGTATGCCCGTCCTTCGACCGGAATGTTTCAATTTTTTTTTATAATTTATCTCAAATGAGTTTTTTGAATCCAATATGACAATTAATTGCTTTGTGATCTTGCATTATCTATGATGTGTATTTTTTGAATTTATATAATAATGTTGAATTTTTTGAAATATTCAAAATACTATCTCAAAAACATATTCACAATCTATTTTCTTAATATGTAAACACTAAATTGGGTTGTGCATGACCTAGTTGGGTTTGCTAAAAAATAAACGCCAATGTGGAAGCAACATGCCAAATTGAGTCGTCAAAGCCCCAATTGGTTTATGTGGCCCTAAAACCTATTTGCTTTGTTTTCATTGTGATGAACTTTGCTTTTGAGATTAACCATGAACTCACTTAACCCTCTATCCTTCATGTTCTTGCCTATCCACTTAATCTTTAGCCCGACCTTGTCCATAACCAACTTAGCTGTTTTCCCCCACCTCTTTGAAACCCCAACAAAGTGGCCTCCACAATCTCACTCTCACTTATCCGGCTATGTAGTGGTAGTGGTCGCTTTGCTAGTTTTTACCTGACCCGTTGGTTGGAGAAACTTTATTTTATTTTGTGTTGATCAATTTCCTCATATTTCTAAATGATTTGGGATTTTCTAAAGCACTTGATTCATTATTTTGAAATAATATTTATGGTATTTGTTGATTATGCCATTAGAGATAATTAGTTGATATATTATTTTTTATCAAGTCGTCCTAGTTTGTTGTTGTCTATATGTTTTTCTTTTCATAATTTAGAAAAACAAATTGCACTTATTATTGTCGGATATGAATTTTGAGTTTGAAAGTATATAAAAAGTCAAGAGAATAATGGAAAAGTTATGCCTAGAAATCTCAAATATAAAAAACATGAAAAAATAAGGTTTATCGTATAAATTATTATAATTTAGTGTATAGGCTTGTTTAAATAATTAGAGGGGTTGTTCACAATAGTTAAGAAAATCCAAACTTTATAAAACAGTAAATTCTACTCTACCAGTACCATCTTTGACTTTTCATGTGGAGTTGATAGAATAAATTGCCACTATATTATTCATTTTTCTCAAAATCTAGCCTTATACTATTTTTTTCATCAAACATGCCTTTGTACTATATAATATATACGTATTATCAAACCTACCTTTGTTATAATTTCCAATAAAATTCTATTAAATACGGTCAAATCACGACTGGACCAGTTGAAAATGACAAATTAAATTTATCCCCTTTTATGGGCTTTCTTCTTCTTCTGCAACTCCTAATAATTAATAGCCACAATCCATCCTCCATTCCCTTCTGCTTTCTCTTCCTTCGACCCAACAATAATTAAACGCGGGCGGATCAGATTCGGGCATTGCAGCATTCACCGATCGCCGACAACGGACTCGGTAGTCGCAGCAGGACGAGAGAGATTATCCTTTTTGAAAATATTTTCTGCCGCTGGTTCTGTTTTCGTGGGTGTTTGTAATTATTATTATTAATGTCATTAATACTTTATTATATTCCATTCTTGTCTTTGTATGTAGTTAGCCAATGATTAATAATGATTACATCTCTCCTCCTCTTATTGGCTGGAATGGGTTTAAGATCCTCCTTAATGAACGGAGCTTAAGGACCGGATCTGACACGCTGTCAAATAATGATATTATCACATAGTAATATCATGAAATGATAGTGATGGTGATATGAATCATACCATAGTGATAAGATCAGATTTTTTCCCCAAAGTACACAAGTTCTTAAAAGAAATTCACAAAATACACACGTTTTATGAAATATTCTCAATCTACACAAGTTTGGGCTTCACCGCGACCGTCAAAAGCGGTAAACAACTTCATTGCAGTTGTGAAAAGCGGTGAAAACTTCATTGTGGCAGTCAAAAGCGGTGAACGCTTCACCGTGGCCGTCTGAATCGGTGAAAACCTAACCTAGGCCAAAACTTCGAACGAACGTAACTTTGCGCTCAATTATCCGATCGTAGAGAATTTGTTTTTGATTCCGCATTATTTTTTGAGATCTTGCAAGCCTCATGTAGCTAGAGGGAGTTTCGTCCCGTCTCCATCCCGAAAAAATATCGTTTGCTATCTCAAACGTTCAATTTTTAGATTTTGGCAAACTTTGGACGCCTATAGCTTTGTGCTCCGCAAGCCAAATGTTATAAACTTTTTTGGATTTCGCATAACTTTTATAACATTCGGGTTGTAAAGCACAAAGTTATGACCGTCCAAAGTTTGGCGAAATCTAAAAATTGCTCGTTTGGGATAGCAAATGATGTCTTTTTTGGGACGAAGGAGGGACGAAACTGCCTCTAGTTACTTGCGGGTTCCAAAATCTCAAAAAATTATGTGAAATAATTTTTTTCGCTAGGATCAGATAACCGAGCGCAAAATTACATTCATTCGAAGATTTAGCCTAGGTTAGGCGTTCATCGGTTCCGACCGCTGCAATGAAGAATTCACCGCTTTGACTGCTACACCACTTTTGACAACCGCAATGAAGCAGTTTACTGCTTCTGACGGCTGCGGTGAAGTCCAAACTTGTGTAGCTTGGAAATATTTTATAAAACATGTGTATTTTGGGAAACATTTTAAGGACGTGTGTGCTTTGGAAAAAAAACCCGATAAGATCATAATATGACAATGATGAGGTGATATTTTGAATTTTACCATAGTGTTATGATGTTGGTATGACAATGATAAGATAGTATAAAATCTTACATTTGAGTAAAAAATTGTTCTCATATGATTGTGATATCATGATATTATTATATTATCATTGCAAAAATATCATGATATTGTGCCATCAATATTCCCATGTGATAAGATCATAATATAATAGTCATGTGTTTTGAAGGGTTAATTTTTTCTTTTGCTCAAAATATAACAACAAAGATATTATTGTGTAGATCACAAGTAATGAGTTCTATCTATGTAAAAAAGGCAATGATAGTGATGAGATTTCAGCAAACATATGTTTTGAAAGTGTTGGGGTGTTAATAAATCTACTGCGAACAGACAAAGTATTAAGGCACCGGCTAAAGCTGTTACATGTGACGCCAACCAGGGAGCTTGACGCTTGATGCTTGCCACAAGTATATATGGGCGTTCAAGTCCTCCAAGGAAGGGGCGGAACTTCTCCTCCCTCACTTTCCATTTTGACTATCTCTACACTATTCTCTCAACTCACTCTACAAAATATACTGTCTTGATCGTCAGAGCTTAATCCGGGGGCATCCATGGCTTTCTTCTTTCCCTCCCGATGAGATCAGACGAGCGGATTGCAAGTCAAGTCCCACTACAACAAATCATTGTTCAAATCCGGAGCTAGACGGTACAAACAATTGGCCCTCACCGTGTGGCTAATTTTGAATATTCTCTCATTTGATTTCCAAAGGAAGAGGATATCTGTTGAGACAATATAGTTATGCTGCTCACAGCATAAAGTGTGAGTAGATAATCACACGGTGGATCTATTGTCCACGAGGGCAAGTTTCAGATAGCGCTGGTTTGGGTTGATGAAGGTGAGAGCCGGTTTGGGTCGGCTGGCCAAGCCCACCGGGCCCACAAATTCAAAAATCAAAAATCTCTCCCACTTTCCCCAATTTAGTTTCTCCGCCAGAACCCAGAACCATTTTGAATCCCCTCTCTCCCACTTTTCCCCTCTCTCTCACTTTCCTCCTCTCACAAAAACGACGAAGAAGCAAGCGAAGCGGCGGCGAACTAGTGTTGCGGCGGCGAGCAAAGCGGCGGCGAGAATCGGGGGCGACTTTGCTGACGAATCGGCGGCGACGAACGGCGACGAAGCTTGTGTTGACGGCGGCGACTTTGCAGACGAATCGGCGGCGAAGAAGGGCGGGGTTTCACGCCTACGACTTGATCCGGGTTTTCCTTTTGTGGATTTGTCTTTTGGGTTTAATTATACTTTGTTCATGAATATTCATTTTCGTTTGGACATATTTGAGTTAGGGTTTCATGGCTACGATCGGGTTTTCCATTTGTGGATTTGTCTTTTGGGTTCGTGGGTGAAATATTTATTTTGTGGTAACTTATATGTCACTGGATATGAGTTCGTTCTTCTGTGGATGTTATTTCTGGGTTTTGTGGATTTGCTTTGTGTTCCTTCTGATATTAGTTCTGTTCGGCAAGATATGCATTCTGTTCCTTCTGGATATCCGTTGTTTATTGCCTGGGTTCTTGTTTAATGTATCTTGATATTGGTTTTGTTTGAGCATGATATCAGTTATGACTTTCTTGGATAGTTGTTTGATAGGATCTGGGTATTTGTATGTGCAGAGATTTATCAATGGCAAGGACTAAAACAACCAAGAGGAAACAGTCGACCGACTCCACGACAGCCATCACCACCGCCTGTTTTGTGTGCGTTCCGATATGATTTATTTTGATTATGGATATCCATTGTATTTTGCTTGGATTGTTTCTTTGATATATCTGGATATTGGTTTTTACTCAGCATGATATGAGTTCTGACTTGCCTGGATAATTGTTTGATATATATGGATATTGGTTTTTAATCAACATGATATGAGTTCTGACTTGCCTGGATAATTGTTTGATATATCTGGATATTGGTTTTTATCAGCATGATATCATTTGTAACTTGCCTGGATAATTGTTTGATATATCTGAATATTGGTTTTTGATCAGCATGATATCATTTGTGACTTGCCTGGATAATTGTTTGATATATCTGGATATTGGTTTTTGATCATCATGATATCAGTTGTGACTTGCCTGGATAATTGTTTGATGTATCTGGATATTGGTTTTTGGTCAGCATGATATCTGTTGTGATTTCCGTGGATAATTGTTTGATATATCTGGA